GTGTGGTTGTCAGCAGCAGCAGGGGGTGGATAGGAAGGGAGGTTGGGGGGCTTGCTGGAAATGTTTTGGGAACCAGCTCCCCTCTCTTGTCTGAGGATCAGGCTGTGGACATAGCTCTGGTCTAGGAAGGGGTCCAGACTCTGGATGTGTAGTGGCTGAAGCACAGGCCATGTTCTGTCCAAACTGCTGGTGTTGAGTGGTGTTGACTGTTGAGGCTGGGGTTTCTGTCATTTGTACTTGGGCAAGGATGCACAGACTTCACCCCTGGTGAATTCTCCTTTTGGGTGGAAATCTTCCCTCTTCACAGCCTTGAGTTTAGGTAAAACTCCTTCCTGTCCCTGTGAGATCTGTCACCTGCCTGTGCTCCAGGATGGCGAGTTAGCCTGGGCCTCAGCTGCTGGAGGTGGGCACTTCGTGGACAAGCATGACTCAGCCCAGAAAAACCTCTCAGAAAAGGTGGAGTTAGGATGAGTACCACACAATGCTCTTGGAGTCTGAGTGTGGTTAATAATAATAGCACTTGGTAAAATTCAAAAGCATTTAATACAGTTTTAAGATACTCTGAGTATGACATTCCTGTATTGTTGGGAAACTGTATTTGTCTCCTTGTTAGTTATTTGTGCAACTGATTCTGTAATTGAGAAATATGTATATTTAAAATTTTAAAAATTTATTACAGTAAGAGGCACATGGTCCTTAATCCTTCCTGAAATACCTCTTTTGGACCGCAACTCGCTGATGATTCCCACCCTTCTTGCCATGCTCTGGAGCAGATCTGCAGTTCTTTTTTGTGTCTCCAGTTGTGCTGTCCTGGTGGCTTCTGTGTCCTGAATTGATTCACAATGTTTACCTTTTGTGATTTTCTTGACTTTAGGAAGAGCCAGAACTCATGCAGTGCCAGATTCTGTGATAGACGGGTGAGAGGCACAGGATGATTTTAGGAGCCCGCCTTTGCACTGGATGGGGTTTGGCAGCAGGGTTCACTGTTTTTCTTGTTGTGGTGGTGGTGGTCATGGTTTTCTTTAGTTGTTATTTTGTTTTATTCTTTGAGACAGAGCCTCCTTGTATAGTTTAGGCTGTCCTTGAATTTGAGGCAATCCTCCTGCCTCATCTTCCCAGCGCTGGGATTATAGATGTGTCCCAGCATGCCCAGAGCACTGTTTTTGGTCACATTTTAGATTGGTGAGATTTCTGCCTGGTATCTTGAAAAGACTTCTATACAGAAAAGATCATCATCTGTCTTCCTAGAGAAGTTCGATTTTCTTTCAGAGAATGCCAATATTACTGCACACATTGGGGTTTCTTTCCTTTCCCCTTACCTGGGAGTGAACGGAGGAAAGGAGTTATACATGCAGCTCGGGGTACTGCAGAAAGGCCAGGCTAGAGCAGTATGCTAATCGGGCTGAGTATTCTTATCAGCCAGGCAGGCTCATTGAGATTTAAGAATGCAGTGTGAAAGTCTTTTGTTGTCCTGCTACAAAATTTTTCCCTTCTATAGAAAAATGAGCTTTTTCATAAAGGCTTATCCAGAGGCGATGCTCAATATTGTCTCTAAAGTGCTAGCAATATATCTCTGAAGCTCTTGAATGATATTAGTGTACTGGCTGAGTGCAAGAGAAGAAAATAATCTATGAAAGGAAGAATAATGCAATTTTAAAAGGAAATTTCCTATGCCAGGGGACTGTACCCCAAATGTTGGCAAAGGCCTGCAGAAATAAGAAGTGCTTGGGAATGAGTGCTGTAGATGCCCAGAGTGACTCTGAGGCCCATGTCACCCGGGGTCCCTGACATGCTTGCTGAGATCTGCATCCAACCATCCAAAGCCAGTGGGGAGATTTCTAAATTAGTGATTTTCCTCTGTGCCATCCAGCCAACAATATGCTTCCTTAGCTTTTCTTCTTCCCCTTTGTGGGATAAATCCACACCCTTGCTGGGGCGGTAGACACATCCTTGCCATGGTAGATGGGCCTCCTGGGACTTTGCCATGAAACAATGCCCCCTTAACTGTTGAGCTGCTCTTCTGGTCTGGGAGCCTTTTCGTCCCTGGACTTCCTTCCAGCACACCCACCTGGTGTCGCACTGCATCCCTAAGCATCTGTCTCTTCTCTGAACTTCCTGCCCGTGAGCAGATCACACCCATCATGTGTGTGCACTTCCTCCTGCGCACACTCAGATGCCTGTGGGATCACGCTGGCTGCTCCCTGGCACTCATCAGAAGCCAGCAGTGGTCTCCTCCTGTGTGCTGCTGGGCCACAGTGGATGTGTATACATGTGTCCTTTGTCTAGTGACTCCCTCAGACCTACATCAGGTAAATCATGCTAAAACAAAGTCAGTGTACACCTGACTGGAACTCGGTTTGCTGCAAAATGGTGAAAGCACCAGCTCGAACTGCGATTTAGAGCCACACATCTGTTTCCTCTGCGTATCAGACTCCATGCTCCATTCATGTGAAACACTGGTTCCAGGTGTGGTGAGGCTCCTACACACCTACACACACACTACCGCTCCCCTGTCCTTTGTGTTTCTTTCATGTGTTTTGTGGATAAGCTGCATTAGGTCTGGGTGTTTGTCATGTGTTACTGAGATTTTTACCGAACGTTTTTTGGTTTAACAAGTAATTGCTGACAGTGGGATTCTGCCTGTGTCTGTGGACGAAGTCTGTAGAGCGCAAAGGCCACGTGCTCAAGAAGCCTGTTTTCTGCAGGTAAAGCAGAAAACAACGGAGTGGACGCAAAGGAGGCTGGAAGAGGTCCTAGCGAGATAGACAGAAAACACAATCCATTGAGCAGGCTACTTCAGCCATGTGCGTGGATAAACGCAGCATCTTCACACCTCATGGTGCATGTGACGCATGTGTTTGTACAGCAGTTCAAGTCCGAGTTGAGGAAGGGTAGAGTGTGTTTTGGGGGAACACAAGAGCAAGGAACCAGGAGCAGGGAGTGAGGTGGGAGATGAAGAGGGCGGTGGGGGGGGGGAGACAGATGCTGGTCTCAGGCACGCAGAGCTTTCTCTTGTGAATGACCACAAGGAGTCAAAGGAACAAGCTCCTCGGAGACGGATGACAAAAGTGCAGGCAAAAGTTTTATGGAACAGACATTTTGAGACGTATTTTAGAGGCACAGCCAGGCTGCCTACCCAGAGTTGCCTAGCCAGCGTATTTAATTCTAGATATTCTAACCACAGCACAAAGGATGTTCTTTTGAAAGTCTAAAATATTACATTATAACAAAGATTATTCAATCCTGAAAAATTTTTTGACAGTATTTGCTGTTTAGCAATAAGGACAGATGGACAAACATGTTTTTATACTAAATATTTCAGCGCAATGCATATCAAGTTTAGTTTCTGGATTATGGTAGATTTCAAATAACACAGCAGGAAGAAATGATGTTGCCCTCACACACAAACGCATTGCTGTTTCAGGGCTGCTCTGTCCTCAGGCCTGATGTTTTCACCCCAAAGTCACAGAAATCCAAGAAACATGGGCGGACAGGATAAAGAGGCCCCAGCTGCAGGGCTCTGGGAAGTGCCTGGAGACAGAGTCTGAGGCCACAGCCTTTTCGACACACTTGGCATCTCCAAGGAGGGTTCAGTCCCTGTCTGGGTGACTTTTTCTTATTGTTGAGGTAGAATACATGACACCTGAAGTTAGAGTTTGCAGCAATGTCAGTTCATAGTTGCTCGGCTCCCAGGAGTGTGGCCTGGCAGAGGGGCATCACACAGGACAAGCAGTCCACGCAGGCAAACGCAGCAAAGCCGTGCAGTCCCAAGCAGCGATGATGACAGCTGCCCTCTTCCTGTTCTTTACGTTCTGTGCTGGCCACCTGTCCTTAGGGACTTAGGACTCACACCCAGGCTGGGCCTTCAAGTTATCCACACTCAAAACCATGCCAAGGCAGTCAGTGGGGGGATCCAGTCATCGCACACCCTTTATTCCTGCATCGCACACTCTGGAGCCCGCTGCATCTGAAAAGCCCCGCCTGCGACCAGATGAGGCTTGAGGGACACCCAAACACAGCCATAGCAGCCCTACTTCATATGCACGTTTGACAACTTGAATTACTAAAAACTGGAAACTTGGATGTTGAGTTTAAACTTTTGACAGTCACTGAAAATACCAGAGGTCTAGACTAATTAAAAAACCTGGAGAAGTACGCATTGTCTGGTCCTGTGAAAGCTGTGCTTGTAGGGATTGTTTCTACCTGACCTCATCGTGTATGGGCCAGCCTTGGACTTGTCCTACAATCAGATGAGGCCCTAGAGGCTCCTGTTCAGAGCCACAGGCCCAAGGTGCACATGTAGGGGACAATGGAAGGCCCTGTTTACAAGGAGGAAGCCGAGTTCTGTGCTGATGGCTGAGCTGTCACTCACCTTTTGGAGCCCAGTTCACTGTTAACAGTGAGCCATGAGAACAAACTGGGCTGCAGCTGTGTGTCTCAAGTGCCCACGAGCTGACCTGGAAGCTTTAAAGCACTCCCTTCCCGACTGGGGCATCATCAGAAAGGCCAGGATGGGCGGTGGGAAGGAGGCTGCACTCTTCGGGTCCTGGGAGATTCCGCCATAGAGGTGCTTGGGGGCAAGACCTGGCCACAGACTGCCAGAATCACGCTGGGTAAGGAGCCCGGCACCAACGTGGGGCAGCGTGGAGGGATTGGGCCAGCAGAAGGGCACCGCCCCAACAGCTTCGTGTTGCTTTGAAGCCAGCAGGTGAGAGGATAATAAATATCTTCAGAGCCCAGAAGTCGAGAACTCACAAGCTCACGCTTAATCCTTTTTAATTAAATTCTTTCCCATCCTCATTTCATTCCACGTACTGCTGTCTCCCACTTCGCCCCAGGTTGATGCTTGTTTCCCTGACTCAGCTCATTTCCTAGCTCACCTGTGTGGGCTTCTGCACTCCAAAATGCAGGTGCTGCTTGTTCCCCTTTCCTGGAACCCTAGTTCTCCCAGCTCAGTCCTTTCCTGAGAGATCTCACTCTTGCGTGGGAACCTGCGTGCTGTGACCATCTTTACCCTGCAGCCGGGCTTTCTCCTTTGTCTGTTTTTCTACCAAGAATAATTGACTGATGCGTGGATTTGCTTGGCTCACTATATTTTTATTGAGCACAGTGTAGCAATCTCATTTCCCCTGAATACTGCTCAAAATTTTTAATATATACTTCACCATCAGATGCCCTACTAAGAAGGGAAGTTGTGGAAGTTGGTGTAGTCACTGACAGAACTAGAGCTAGAAGTTAGACATTTTGAGTGAAGATAAAACGTGTGGACAACAAAACAGCTTAAAGGCTGAAACGGTGTCTGTTCCTCTCTCTTCATTTCCCTCGTGATTAATGAGAAACGTTCCCAGACCTGAGCGTCCTGAAGTGAAGCCGCAGCCCACCACATGCGGCTCCTGTTCTGGAGAGCCTGGAGAGCACAGCTCAGCCTCCCTGGTGAGCGTTCCCCATCCCTTTGCTCAGCTTTGGGCAAGTGCAGGGACCCACAGGAGGGAAAGTTTCCAGGCTGACTCTTGAAATGCTGCCCTATCATCAGGAAATACCATTTGGGGACTTCCTGAAAACAAGCAATAAGCTGCCATTAGGCAGAACCATGGAGCTGTGGAGGTCTACTCAGGACAGCTGCTCACAGGGAAATTATTTATAAGCGACATGTTTTACCCCGAGTAGTGCTGAGGCATGTCCAGGGCTGGCCGGTGGCTTTTCCTGCGTGTCCTTCCGTCCCTCTCAGACCCGCTGCTGTGCCGTGTGTTTGCTTCTGCATCCTCAGTGAGACAATTGCTAAGGTCCCCTTGCTTGTGTGCATCATCCTACTCTGGAAACTTATCAGCGCTCCAGATCCGAGGTCACTCTGGTGACAAGGACTCTGGTTGTCCTCTGTAGGATAACGGCCCGTAGTCTGGATGGGGCTGCTCCAGGTCTCCACTGGAGCTGCCTGTGGACGCTGCCCTCTTGCTGACACCCATGCGCGGGTGAGTGTACCTCAGTTTTCTTGTTTTGCTTTTGAGCTTCTTGTCTTACTGTGTTATTGTTTATTAGCTTTCATATCTTCCCATCACAGTGGCTGCAGAGGTAATGAGAGTGCTGGACACAGTGACCACAGCCTCAGGACTGGAGCTGCACCTTGCGAGGTGATGCAGGCATCACAGACCGAGGTCATCGCGGCTCACTGGAGCCTAGGGCCCTGCGGTGATTTTCTGGGCCTGTTGTTACTGAACAGTGGAGAGAAGTAATGTGACAGTTAAGTGGAAATAAACTAGGAGGAAAACATTCATACCGAGAGGAAAGAATTGATGGAAGGGCAGAACCGAAGTGTGGTTTTAGAGGCTAATTTAGGGTTTGCTCGTAACGAGTGTGAAGTTCCTCTCTGTGTCCCAGGCTTGGTATGGAACAGGCTGTGCTGTTCAAACAGAGCACATGACAGGGCCACCCGCTGCCTTCCTTCCCGTGGGGTCCAGGGGAGCTTGTGCAGAGAACACCTCTCTGATGATGTCTGGGAAGCTGTGTCAGGTCAGAACGAGGTGGGCTCAAGTTGTCTAATTTACTAGTTGTTTGGAACTGACTGCTGTTTTCACCTCCTGGCTCAGTGGTCGGTCCTGAAAGCCCAATGCTTCATTTCTGTTCACTTCCGTGGATGCTGGACAAGGTACTGGCTGGGTTCGGCGGGGCAAAGGGGATGGAGAGTGGACTCTGTCCCTGTGAGTGTGGTTTTGTGGGGCTGGAAACCACAGGAGAGGATGACAATGGCTTTGAGAGGAGAGCCTGGGACATGGCTGAGGGGAGGCCACTTAGAAGGGCAGCGAGTTTACCTCCCAGACGAAGGGGAGCCAGCGCTTGAGGAGCCACAGAAGGGGAGTGGCATCCAGAAGTCCAGGGCGAAGCATCTGGTGAGCACAGGCCTCATTTATGGTGTCGACACACTTGTTTTGCAGGGACACTGAAATACAAGTCTCACTCTCAAAATCTGAAGAACAGCATTCACAGGGTTTACTTTTTGTGTGTGTGCAGTAATTGTGGACTGAGAAAGAGTACATGGTCCACGGAGTCCTCTGGCCACATCACCCAGGCTCCAGTGCAGATGTCTTTAATGGCTAGATCATGTGGTCAAATCTGGGGCATTCGTGTTGGCATGCCACCACCTCCTAGAACGTAGATTTTACTGTTCCACCCTTCAGGCACCCTGCACTTATTTGTGCATGTGTTGTGTGTGTGGTACTTTCACTCCTCAGTCAGGGTAAGTGTAGCATGGAAGGTTCTGGCTACAGTGGAGCAGTGGGGCAGGAAACGTAATTCTTCCGACAGTGCAGAAGAATGAGAACCCAGAGTAGATGCTAGCGTGGTGCTGTGGGGAGAGTTTATTACGGGCAGGATGGACGGACGGTGGTGGTGGTGGATACGGACTGGCTGCGTGGTGCTGGGACTGAACCCAGCACTCCTGCAACACCACTTGCCCAAGATTTACATTTTCAGGTCAAGTGTTTTCTAAAGTGAAACGGTGCTGTTCCTTTCAGTGTGCCCATGTGCACTCTGACCAAAGGGAGAGGAGTGACGCGGAGCCCAGGAAGGAGGATAACAGGACAGAGAGCCAGACTGGCACTCGGGTGATGCCAGCAGTGGCGGAGGGAACAATTGTACCTGTCCACTTGGTTCCACCTCAGCTCCTTCCCTGCTGGGCAAAATTATAAAAACAAAGATCTGTTTTTTATGCCAGAGGCCTTTTTAAAATCCACTGTCTTGGTAGAATGTCCATAAATGTTTTCTTACTCTTGTGTTTTAGGTTGAGAGAAATGCTAAGAATATTTTCCAAGACTGCAATTCTCCTCTTTAATTGGACCCAAGGATCAGGCAACTCTATTTTTCTTTCTCCTTCAACCTCTCTCCTCGAAGGTCAGCACTGGCTGGGTAGACAGAGCCTACCCAGCATAGGAGCAGAATTTGTGTCATTTGCTGGTGAGGAGCTCAGAGCATGATGTCAAAGCATTTTCTAGAAGTCTGTGACCTCAGCTGTCATCTGGCTGGGATGGAGTTGAATTCCCTTTCTGCTCTAGTGCTCTCCAAAATTTTAAAAAATGTCATTTTGTGAATTCCCACATCTCTGTTTACCACTGCACATTTTTCTGTTCAGCATTTGGAATGATGACTTCTCCAGAGCAAACACGCAATGTACATTTCTGACTGCGTTACCGGGAGAATCTTAAGTATCAAAAACCTCCTTGTAAGGATTTTTAGAACTTAATAAGTAAAATATATAAGCAAATTGTTAGCAAATCTTTACAGTTTTGCTGTTTGTCTTTTATTTTTTAGATTTTAAAAGATACTCAGTATCTTTTCAGTAAATCTAAAAACCGAGCTGAGAAAATCAATGGTGTTAGTTACTAGGAAAATTAGGAACACGTCTCATGTAGCCACATTTCATATTTAATTCCTCTTGGCTCTGTAACTTCTTTCATGAATTGCAAATATATTTTCAATAAAATTTATTAGAGACTACATTAGATTAAACTTGCCTAAGGATTTAATCGCATTAGCTCGTATGAAATAGAAATGTAATGGCCTGGGAAAGCAGTTCACAGTTACAAGCATTGATGCAACGCTGTCATATCTGCTTTACAGAGGAGGAATTCAAGACCCGAGTGCTCAGCAGCCTGCTCAGGTTTCCACGTCTAATAAGGATGTGTCAGGTGTGCACACATTGGTGGGGCCGCGGGGCTGTGGTCAGTGCCCTCTACACTGTCACTGTGTCCACCTCTACATGACCAAAGCTCTGGCAGGTGCTTTTTAGCTGGGTAGCAGGGCAAGGGCTGACCATTTGCTTGCTAATCTGCTAAGCCCGATCCTAGAATCTCCTTGCCTCCTGCTGTAAACCCAGCTTCAGGAGAAGACAGCCCCACCTGGGGACAGACACAGTCTTTGACAGCCAGGCCAGCCCGGCCTCACTCATCTGAGGGAGAAGCTGCAGCGAGCAGCCCCTGCACTCACTCATGACCCAAACTGTTCACTTCGTCAGTCTCTGATCTGTTCTGAGTTATCCTTCTCCTGAAACACAAACTGGGGCTGGCAAATGAGCTCGGTCTTTAATGATGAGTCTTCACCAGACACGAACACTTCCAGCAAGGTCATTTTCTTGCTGTTCTGGAAAGTGGGTTCATGCCAAGAGGCCAGAGGAGAAGAGTTACACATCCCTGAGTCTGTGAGGAGACATGGACCTAATTTTCACAATTTATTCAAGCTGGCTAATTCTCTGCACAGTGTAGCTGTATGAAACAGATTGATTCAATTACATTTCTGCTACTGAGTCATTAGATAATTTTGTGTGAACAAGTCATTCCTTGAATGTGAAAATTAGCAAAGCTGTTTTTTTTTTTTCTTAACAAAACAGTTCTGTTTCGGGGTATGGAACAAACAAAACAAGTACTGTTATACTTTTCCACCTTTGGGTGTTAGACCCCAGATTCCTTAAGCAGAGAAATAATTCCTTGTGCTTCCTGGAGGTATTCCTGTGACAGTTGACAGCCTGGCCCAGTGGAGTGAATGGTTTCTCCATTACAGAGCTTCCCACTTGGCTTACCATCTACCATTGGATTAACAGCTTTCTCACCCTCACATGACCACTGCTGCACACTTCACTGGGATGGGCTTTCTTGTGACACTGTGAGCTAACCTCAGTCATCTTCAAACAGACCTGAGGCTGTCAGCAGGGAGGCCTGGCTGGTGCTGAAGCAGTCATTTTTGAGCTCTGGAGGACAAGGACAGGATCCGCAGTGTCCCGGGAGCTCTGTGGTCTCCCCAAACCCATCTCTTCCTTCCTGGAGCCTCTTTACACAGCAGGGGATTAAGGTAGCTGCTCATCAGCTGATGTGAAAGTGGGTTTTCTGGGCACCCCCAGGCCTGATGTAGATGGCAGGGCTGTCATTGTGGTAAAGGAGAAAGGAGGTCTGGTGTCCCAGCGGTGAGTGTGTGTGTCTCTGTGTCTCTGTGTGTGTATAACCCTGCATCAGCCTTGCCAGGCCCAGAGGGGAGAAGAAGCTGCATCCAGGGACCCTGGTGAGTCAGGGCTGGACCCCCAGAACCTCTGCAGCAGGACTGGGGCTGTGTTCTTAACCTGGGGAAACTGCCCTAGGCTTCTCACCTCCCAAACTGCAAGGTGACCAGCACGCGTGGTTTCCAGTGACTGAGTTTGTGGTACTCTTCCATAATTGGAAATAACCCTACACATCAGGTTTGTGGGATTTTGTTTTGTTTTTGTGATTTTCTGAGTGGTTTCTTTATATGGTCTGCACTGCCCTTGAACTCATGACCCTGCTGCTTCAGCCTCCCAAGAGCTGTGGTTGCAGGCAGGCCTCACCACGCCCAGAAAATGTCAGTTATTATAGGGGCTGCCAGATGACCCTAGTGTGCAGCCAGGTTGGGGACCTTAGCATGCCACACTCACCCCCAGGGACTCAGATTCACATTCATTGCATTAATTTCTTTACTCTCCATAACAGCTTCTCGAGGCTGGGGCCCTTATCAGGAGCAAGTTTATCTGAGAAGTTTCCCAGAGTTGTCCAGCTGCCAAGTGACAAGTGTCAGGCTGCCCATGCCAGATGTGTAGCCACCGTCATGCTGACCGAAGCCTCTGAGTAGGGCTGTGCTTACCATCCACGCAGAGGATGGGTGTCATAGCCCGGTTGCCTCCTAGGCCCTTTCCATAGGAAGACAGTAGGCTAGAAATCAAAGGTACTGGGGACATGAAAACATCAATGGCAGTAACTCATGACTGGCAGTCAACTTCAAGAGCTAAAGAGAAAAAATATAAATACTTCCATATTTAAAAACCATGGAAATCTGAGGTCCTTGGGAAAATATAAATATTACTGAATGCAACAGTAGTTAATATTTTTGGGATTATTTGCTGTATTTGAGTAGATATGAACTCGTCTTAATAACCAATTTGTCAAAAAGATTGATTTTTGCTTCATATGGCTCATTCATGAGAGAAGAGAAATATTTACAGTTCTTTAGTAGTGATATATCTTAACTACTTTTCTCATTGCTGAGACAAAGTACCGAACACTTGAAGTTAAAAGAGGAAAGGTCCATTTGCATGGTGATCTGAAGAGGTCCAGTCCATGGTCAGCTGGCCCCAAGGCAGGGCAGCGTGGCAGAGGGGCCTGGCAGGGAACAAAGCGTCCACAGTGGGCGAAAGGAGAAAGTAACAAGGTATGACGCACCAGCAGCCCGCCTCTCCCCTTGATCAC